GTGAGACACGTACGTACAAATTAAAAATAAGATAAAATTATTAATAAAAAGGATGGGTCACGCGTCATTAATTACATAACAGTATTATTATACTAACTCTTGTTTCTGTCGGGATAATATTTTTATACGGGATGAGATCTTGAAAATAGAAACAGGACAAATATGAAACATACAAGTTTTTGCCACTTTTCATTATAAGTTCACAGCCTTATGTTGCAGCACTTGTGTATAATTTATATCTTATATATTAATTGTGAAAATGTTTACTTTTTACGGATCAAATAGTTGGTTCAAAAATGAAGAGATTGTTTTTGCTTAATCTCATGTATCATATAAGGCTGGGACCTTGAAATCTAGACGTCACGTCCTTGTAGTTTGCAATACATACGTGTGCAATAACTTTCCGATAATTACTCAAAATTCAAGATCTATATATATATGTAAACTACAAGGACGTGACATCAAGATTTCGTGTAGTGCAACAAGATGAATCAACGCATCAAAGCACAATAATTTAAAGTTGATCCGTTATAAAAATGCTGTTGAACATAAGATCTGAGAAATTGTAAATTTCATCTACATATTTAAAACAAAACTATGAAGTAATAATATTTTCGATCTTTTTTTTTTTATCTAAACATTCATCAATCACTGGTTTTCGATCTACTTTAACGACACAAAATTATGAAGTAATAATATATTCGAGCTAAGACATACTATAATAATATCAAGTTGAACAACTTGAGTATTCTAACTATATAGCTAGAAAAAAGGAAAACAGAATGCTTTCGGTTGTTTAATGGGTATTGGCAAACTATTCTTCTGCTTAATTAGATTGGATGTAAAACACTAGCTACTGTATTATTGTTAAGACTCTTTTAAAAAATTAAAGGTGGCAAACTAACGATTATTTTATTTAAACTCCAGTTAAGTAAAACATGTAATTCACCTATTCGGGTAAAATAGCTTTAAGGCTTGCAGAAAACCAAATCGTATGAAATCTATACGTCTTTTTAGATGATCCCTTTATGAAATCTATATGTTTTTTATTCGCTAAACGCACTTCTCTTTAACTACTACAAAATTTACATAACAAATGGCTCCAAATATTATTCAGAATTTTAATCTCAAATTTTTCAGTTAATAAAAGATATAGAGATAATGATCTAGTATTCTCTCTTGGCTTCTCTGAGCACATTGTTAACATATCATGTTTGAATGAATTTAAGAAAAAACAGAAGAAGAAAAAAATTGTATTTTTTAACGGTTGGAGAGAGAAAATTAAGTAATATTTTTCGTATAAAATATATGTAATTGATGAGATTTTATTCCTCAATAAATTTGTAGTTTTATGAACAATTTAAACGATATTTTATTATATAAAAGAGAATGCACGCGATGAGAACACGACACATAAGCAAAATTATAACTCACCAGATTATAACACATGTAATTGTTAATTTAGATTGTGACATGTGTCAATACTAACAAAAATTTGAAAAATAAAAATAAGAAATATATATTTTAAACAAAGATTATGGGATTGCA